TATCTATCTATCTATCTATCTATCTATCTATCTATCTATCTATCTATCTATATCTATCTCAGTATCAAGGTATGAGCTGCCAGTTTGGTATGAGGAGCCACTATTACCTCATCTAAATGAGGTTGTTCTTTGACTAACAAGGTACTAGTCTTGTCTATGTCTGCTCAGTCAGAGACTTACATATTTCAAAGGCCTTCGCCTATCCAGGGTGGATTATTGCTGCAGCAAACAACTCTCATTACCAAGAAAGCTACAAGTCAGTACTGCTTCAGAGAGGTAGTCAAAGTAGAATTTGTGTTTAGTAGTGTTTCCAGTAAATATGTAGAAGAAATCAATTCTAGGCATGTTCCAGGCTTTCAGAAATTTGAGAAGACAATCTCTAATTGAAAAAATTACCCTGTCAACTGGCTCTATTTCTCTGCCAGCTGAATGAATTACAAAGAATATTCTTTAGCTAAGAAAAAATTACTAGGTATTAAAAAATATTGTTTCTATGTACCTTCAAATATAATGAATGGATTTTGTTAGAATACAGTAATGATCTTTATTTTCAGAATTATGCTTGAGTGACTACTTCTTATGGAGCATGTACATCAGAGTATTAGCCAAGACAAGGTGTGCACAGATGCAAGGAATCTTTTAGTCATTTTTACTGCTTTTTCCTCTTTACTTTTTACATTACACTGGGGCAGTCTCAGAGCACACAAATTAGATTTATTTTCAGATGGTTGTCAGATGTGCTCCAGGACTGCACTTAGTGCAGCTGGAATTATTAATGGATGTTCAACTTCCCAGACTGGCTTAGAAATGTTCAAGAAAAATTGCTGGAGATGTGTATGATACGAATATTGGGGTATACTTAACTACTGTTTAAATCTATGAAGTGACAACTTTGTGAAGAAACATCTCCATTAGTTGTAGTATGCTGGAATGTGCCCTAGCACACAGCAGATAAATGTGGAATTCAGGTGCTTCTATAGCGTAGTCGGAAGGATCACTCCCATCAGTGTGATAGCAGACTGATCTTGTTGATCTGTTGCTGCAGCTGAGGAAAAGGCTTCATTCCCATGAGCTCTCTGCCCTCCACAGCTCTAGATATCAATCTTCCTACTTGCTTATGTCTGGAGCTGGGACTTCACCTAGGACTTGGACCATTTCAGTGTGACTCCTAGAGAATTATTCCTATATTTACTTTCATGAACAAACTAACAGGACTGAAAATAATGATCAGTCATGTTATAACAGAAGTTTTAGACATCTCCACTAGAAATGGGTGACAAGCACATTTTTCCTTTTAGCTTTGAATGAACTGTTAGAGTCTTGAATGAGATGCACTGGACTCTGATTTAGATATGGAAAAAGCTGGTAACAGAATTTTTACCTACACAGTGTTCTATCTCTACTAATCCTAAAAGGAGAGTTTGTGTAAAGTATACCCGTGATTTAAATTGCTATTGATTTTATTATCTCACTAATGAAGGATGATGAGGAATGCAAAGTTATTTATGTTTGTAAACTTCTCAACCCTGAATGTTTTATCAGCCTGTTTGCAAGATTTCTTTAGCCACTGCAAGCTGATCATCCTGCTTAATTTCTCATGCTGAAAGCAATTTATCTGTAGCTCTTTATTCTCTAGGGACAAGCTGTGTTTTTGAAGCAAAATAAAATTTATTCAAATGATTCATCTGTATTGAAATCTGGTTACTTAAATCTTCATGTCCTTTAATTCACTTCTTGTGCTTATTAAGAGCAAAATTAATGGTTATCCAAGCATCCTTTTCAGAAGATGTGATCATTTGCTCGCAAAAAAGCAATGAGTAAGAGTATGATTTTGTAATGCTGTCTATTTCTAAAATATGGTGCGAGTGCTCCTACCTCTGTAAAATGGACAATCAGACAGTTCTGAGATGTGTAGCTGTGTATCTTGATCAGCTTTTCTTCTGCCTGTGATAAGGCTTTTATCCAAATCATGGAAAGCTTGATATGTATAACAATTGACATGGATTTGTCCTGCTTTTGTTCCAGTGCAACAATAATTTCATAAAACTTTCTTTGGAAGCCAATACTTGTTTTTATTTTGTAACTAGAAGGCATTGCTAGAAAAAGAACTCAGAGTGAACTCAGGGAGGCATGGGGAATGGGTACAGACTGCAAGTATAGCCATGTCAGTGTTGGTGGAGGCAAGATGCTGAGGCCATCTGAAGCTTAAGATTTTCACATGTAACTGGAGTGCAGTGAACCTTCCATAGATGCCCAAGGGCTCTGCATCTCTCTCCAAAGTTATCTATAATTTTATATAATTTCATTTTGAAGTGCATTGCTAGAGGTCCAACTGTGACACCTGTACAACTATACTAGCTGTCCAAGGTATTCCTCATAGTCAGTAGAGATGAATAAGTACATGAATCACTTAAGACAGATTTATCCTTGGTTGTGAGTCTAAACCAAAAAAGGAAAAGTATGTCTGGGGTGTGTTACTCAAGCTTTGATGATTGATTCTTAGGTGTATAGGGCAGAGTTTTCAAGGGATAGTTTTAGATACTGAATTTTCCTTTTATTTAGTATGTAGTAACAACTTTGATTTGCTCAACAGTCTATATTCTTTTACAATTCTTTTATGAATTCTGTACACAGAGGCACAACCTAATAAATGGATGACATTTAAAAAATATTTAATGAAAAAACATGCTTCTTTTTGCAATGTGTAATATTTAAGCTTAATAAAGTACAGAAAAGAGACATTTTCACCTGGATTTGAGTACAGAATGAATAATCTAAAGAACAGCAAAGGAGATTGATCAATGCAAAATAAACACTGCAGGTGCTTTTACTTTTCCAAAGAAGAGGGGGCAAAGGCTAGAATTCCAGGTCAGCACAGCCATAGTGGGTTGGCTTCTTGAAGCATTGTTCCTTAAAAGAGTCTTAGATATGTATTTTGCCTTGAAACAAAATATAGTCAAATATAATAGCAATATATTAATTTCTATTTAACAAAAACTAACCCCAGCAGTAACCAACACTTTGTGATTTCTGAGCACCTTTTAATATTTGCTTTGGCACCAAAAAAATAATTGATTGTGCCAAAGGATCTCCTTCTACCTGTCTAAATGTAGACTAGCATGAAATCATGATAGTGCTTGAAACACTACGCTTCCTTCCAGCTCTTCCTTGCAGGGTATTACTTACAAGCACTTCTAGAGTCAGTTCGGTCTGTGCTTGCTTAATGGAACTTGGGAAATACTGTAATGATGCACTATCCACCTGCCTTCCTCTTGAATAATTGTTTTTGCTGCTTGTAAATGCTTTGTGAGCCCATGAGATAATAAAAGCAAGATAAAAATAAATTGTAACTATCCACACTGCTACCATTGCTATTCCTCCATGGGCAAAAATATCTTCTGCGTGTGAAGAAAACTAAAAAGTAAAAGAAAAGTAGCAGTATTGACAGTAAGTTTGAGGATGAGTAACAAGTACTTCATGGACTTGAACTTTGTATGCCTGTGCAGGCAGTGGCCAGAGTAGAGGGAAATGTTTCTTTAGAGGTGCATAATGTGTAAATGATGAAGAGGAGCTGTCACATTATTTCATGCACATGGAATCTAGGAAATAAGTGCTTAATAATTGGACTTTATGTATACCCCCTTGTGTAGGGAAAAAGAAAAGAAGCCATCCTCTTTCAGTCTGGAGCAGATTACTTGTACATTAAACTATTTTCTGGACTTGTAAGTAGGTTTGCACAAGGTGAATTAAATAGAGCTTCCTTCCATAATTGTGCATGCTGTGAACCATAGCTCAAGTTTGCATGTTTGACTTCTAGATATCTGTGTTAGTTAGATAAATCACACCAGGAGAGGAAGTTGTCTGAGGCTGAAAGCACTGCCCTTTGTGATTCCTGAAGCTTCACAGGGCTTTCCACAGGGCTTGAACTTCCCCCTCCCCAACTGATTTCTACAATACTCACCAGTTCTATGATTTAGAACAATTTCATGGACTAAATTTCAAATGCATGTGCACTCCTTAACTTCTAGGTTAAATTTGTAGTTGAGCAAACCTCTTCAAGGTATTCTTTCAAATTCTTTCTTGCAAAGGCTGTAATTGTGTATCTCTTTGACTGGTCCCTACACTGCTTTCAAAATACACTTTTGGGATACATTTGAAGAGAGGAAAGACATTCTTTGATCAAAGCACAGAGCTGGGAAATCTGATTTATCATCTCTTCTGTCCTAGCATTCCTGCATGATCTTGGGCAAGGTGCTTGGAATATACTTCTGTTCTGAACAATACTTTTATTTAAAACTAGCACCTTGTTCAAGACAATGAAAACCTTTGGATATTCAAAGTGTTTTGGGCTGACTCTCTGATTACACACTCAACAAAAACCCCAAATCAAAACTCAGCATGTCCCTTTCCCAACTGAAATAGAAGCAACCACTGCTTTTTTAATGATTATTTCTGCTTACACTGAAGAGATATTTTTCAGGAAAAGAAGCTGGTGATCTGTCTTGTACATCAAGTAAATGAGAACCACAGGGCTCCCCTGCCTTCTGGCATACATCCAGCTCAATCGCCAAAGGCTATCACACTATTTTTTCAATTATCTTTGCACAAAAAATGTCTCCCTTTATTACCAGTATTTTTTACTTCTTTCTGGGCTTTAATATTGGTTCTAATGGCCTACTTCTAATGGGTAAGAGGTGAGCCCAATTAAAAATATTTCCAACTTGCACAACAAAGAAAGACTTAATCAAGAAGACAATGTTGTATACAAATTCTAAATTAACTTTACTCAGCACCCGCAACACGCATCTTTTTAAACACACATATTGTGGATGTCTGAAAACATAATACTCTGGTTTCAAAAAATACGAAAATAATGATCTGTTAGCAAAGTGTTTTTCTTTTTGATTGATTGATTGGGGATTTTTTTATTATTTCAATTTATCTTTTTCACCCCAGTAACATCAGAGAAGAAGTAAAACCAGGGATCATAAATAACCTACCTGCAATAGATACTCAGAGCTTGGAGAGGGATCACAGCTCAGCAAGAGAGTACCTGAAGTGTGGCACAGAGGAATTTCAGCCGCTCCAGACAGTAAGCTGGCTTCACTGGGGACCCAACTTAAATGTGTCTATACAAGATATATTCCATGGAGGATAAACAAGATAAATTAGTTAGAGATGTATAAATGCCTGCAGAGCTAGAATGTTTTTGGCATAATGGAGAGATGAGATGGCTCCTGTGACTGGAGTGTGGGAATGGAATGATACAGACTCTAGGAAAGGCAGGGAAGGAGATGAGAGGGGTGTTTCCCTCTGTGTTGATGACCAGATCTACTTTGAAAGAGGTGAGAAGCCAACTGAGAATTTTTGTGTCAGGATTAGAGGCAGGGCAGGGAACGGTGTCATTAGAGTGGGGGTCTGCTGCAGACTGTCCGACCAGGACAACTGAGTGAGTAAGGCCCTCTATACAGAGAAAGGAGCGGACTTCAAGTACTGAGGCATAAAATCAATGTCTGATGAAGAAAATAGTAAGAGTGCCCTTAAAGGTCAAGCTTTTGTGAATGGAAGTTTTAGATCAGACTATAGACCTGTGCACATAATAAAATAGGATTCCAGTAAAAATATTTTATTATTTGATGCAATAAGAAACTTTTTTGGTTTTACTGTTTTCTTACAAATTTTTGGAATTAATGATACTGAATTCAGATCCAAGAAGTGACACATAAAATGAATGCAGCATGAGATGTCCTTTTCCTAGACTCAAAAGTATGCTCTTAAACTTTGCTTGCCATCTGTTTGCAGAAATACTTCATCGTCTTACTCATGTTGGTCCCTCTTGCCCTCTGTCCCCCTCTCTTAAACACAGGCATAGACAGCAGATCTTGCATTACTTGACAGGCATTTCTGAAACACTGGTTGAAAGAAACATTGCTTGTTTCTTTCATCTACAGAACCAAATGAAATAAAGAAATAGCATTGGTTATATCGTATAAGAGGAAAAATGCTTTATTGCTTAGGATAAAGCAATAAAGAATAGTCAAAAATAACTCAGAAAGGTTTTAATGACAATGGCTCTTAAAGGAACAATGCCATCAGGTGTTTTCCTAGAGGTATGATACAATTCAGAGATAATATACTGCAGGTAGGATGTTAAATTAATTCAGAATTTTCAAGAAGCTTATTATCTCTAAACTTTTTCAGTAATTCCAGAAACTGCATTTTGAATAACTTGATTTGATTGCTAGTAGTTCAGCTTGATTAGATAAAAGAATATTTTGGTTACCTGTTGAATAAAGTCCTTTATTTCTGACAGTTTATCAAGTATATAACCTAAAGCAGTGATAATTGTTTGAATTCAGTCTTATGAGTTTGAACTCAGTCTTCTAAAAAAAATAAAAATTCCTTTATGATAAACAGAAGACTTTAGACCATAACAGTCTTCTCTGATGTAAGCAATTCCATCGTAGGTGCTTTCTTTGGATTTTATCTTGATTTCTGTCTTTTTATTTCTGCACAAAAATGTGAGTGCAGATAAATACTTAAAAAAATGTTGTTTTAAGTATTGCAACCTCTGTGAACCTGCAAACTGAACAAGGAGCTGTAAGTGCTATAGTCCTTTTTGCTATTTACACTAGTCGACTGGAAGGCATAAACAAATAGCAAAAGACAGTCAGGGTCACTGTAGTGAAACATAGAAAGGATAAATCATTTAAGAAAAAAAAATATTCTGCAAGAATGCACAGAATAGGTCAGGCTAAAAAAAGCCAATGAACTTCTGTCACCCATTTCAAAACAAGTAATATGGGACCTAATCTTAAAACATAGTGATGCTTTTCCCCCTGTATTACTGAAAAGCAAGATTAATAATGTGTATATATGCATATCCTTTTTATATTAACAAGAAAAAGTGCTTAAGTCTTTCAAAGCTTTTTTTTTTCAACATACTTAATGCTTATGCTTCTTATCCAGATGGACACTATACATCTTATTCTTTTTGATATAATATGAAAAACAGAATCAGATCATTAAGCACAGAAAAACAACTAAATAAGTTGGAAAATGTCTAGCAGCTTCAGAATTTTCTACTTGAATTCATTCACACAAACTTCTGATCCTTGTGGTAAAATGAGGTAGATCTTTTTGTTTGGCTGCGGAGCAGTGCTCGTTCATGTAAGAGCTGATTTTCTACCTAGCTGATAACAACCTAAGGAAAATATTGCCCATTTGGAAGTACTTAAACCTAATGCAGTATTTAAACAAAACAATTTAATATCCCATACCAAAAGACATTCCATAGTACTGTGAGCTGACTGTCTTAAAATGCAATACATAATTTGTCTCCCTAGAGTTTCTTCATCAGCAAATCTTAGAAGCTTTTGTCTGCTAGGATCCTTACAACTTAAGCCATTCTATGATTCTATAATCTATAGCTTCCATTCTTAAAACAGTACTCTGTATCACTACCCTAGGCTACAATTCAATTGAACCCATTCACAATTTAATTAAGCTTTTTCCATGAAGTATTATCCACAGTCAATTATTATTTTCTTTTCTCACTAGTTCAGTTCAGTTGCAGTTCAAGTAAGAAAAACAATGCAAATATTTTTGAAATATTTGCTTAGTTTAGAAAGGGGTTACTTTTTACGCAGACTTAGATGTAAAAGCACATTGAATATTTTGTATATTTTGTCCTAATCATAGGAACATATTTTACTGCAAATGTTGGATTGGTGAATATTCAGGGACTTGTTCTTGAGTAACTATTTCATAGATTCAACTGGGAGCTCTTATATGAGCAGAATTGTCTAGTAGAAAAGCAAAGAGAATGTCAGATGGAAGTGTGGATGGTTTTCTGATTTGTACCAAAGCACAGGAGGGTGTCTATGCCTGAATTAATACAAAATGATTGTGATGTTTTAACTGCTTTGTATGTTTTCAGTATTCATTAGCTTTAAAGTGTAATTCTGCAAACGATGTACAATGTGCTTGCTCAGTAGTTTTGTGTAGTCTGTTTTTCTCAGATGGAGTTGTTCATACATATTAAGGTAAATTAAAATCTTTGCAAGATCAGGGTCATATGAAATACAATAGAAATTTCAGTAAGTCAGTTTCTGAGAACTTTTTTTGTTTAGTATTGTAGAGCCACCACATAGCCAGTTATGTTAAACAGATTTGGGTTTTGTATCCTTTAAAACAAACATAAGATACAGACAATTTTTTTAATATACAGCATTGTAATTGTGTAATTATGACTCATCCTTTTGAATTTAATGAGATTCTGTATAGCTAAAGTTATTAATGTTATGGATTTTTTTTCTGTTGTATTTGAGTCTATGGAATGTAATGGTTATGTAAAGTACTAATGTGTCATGTATTAAGTACTTTTAGACTGTTGTGTAAAAATGCAGAGGATAATTCAACTTTGTTATTGGAAATTAACTAGTCACCTTGTAGCACTGTCTCATTCAAGCATCAGTGCCCTTATCAATGTTGTTTTTCCTGAATTTTGGAGGAGAAATGATTTATCTAGAGTCATGCAACAGTTTTAGCACTCCAGATGCAGATGCAAGATTTGGTGTATTAATGGTGCTTGTCTTTTTGTACTGTTGTCATGTATATCCAGTCTTCTTACCAAAAGGAGTGAACAAGTTCTATAAAAGAGTTTGGCCTTTAAGCAGAGCCTAACTACTCAGATCTAATTGCAATTATCTTCCTTTGATATGACATTCCTGATTCATCATATGAGGTGGAAGGTATTGTGTTAATCAGTGTTAGTCATGTGGGGTTTTCCTTTCTTTTCTTTTTAATCATGTCAAAGAAACTAGTCAAAAATTAGTCACGTACATGACTAATATTTCCATCTAATACCTAAAGTAGAGGAAAATCCAGGCAAACAGTTTTTTTTTTTTTTTTTTTTTTTGTTTTTTTTTGTTTTTTTTTTGTTTTTTTTTGGGTTTTTTTTTTTTTGGTAGTATATATATACAAGGGTTCAAATTTAGTAACCTAATTTTCTGGCAATACATTTTTGTTGTATCATGGTTTTGAAAGTACTACCAATCCTTCTTTTCTTTGAAAAGAAAATCTACCATTCCTTGTTAGCAATGTATTTTGAAAGAGGATGACATATTTTTTGTTGATATTATTTTTTTTTTATTCTTCTCTTAAGCACTGGAAACTTGTAGTGATTCTCACAGCCATATTTTTTTTATCTGAAAAATGAAATGGCACCTTGGCAGAGCATAGCACTCCTGACAGGAAACCAGTCTCTTGAATGAGATCATTGTTTTCTGTTTAGTTGCATGAGCATTGCAAGTATCCCTGTTTTGTGTTCACCTGGATCAGATTAAGACTACTTGTGATGCTATTTCACTTATTTCCTATAATTCAGCTGGCTTTCAGTCCTTCATGATGACTCCAGCATCTCATAGATATGTTTATATTGAGTGTTTTAAATTATACACATAACATTAGTTATGTATAAAATACTGCAGTATATGATCATTTCTGTCAAATGCATAAAAACCCTTTCTGCTGGCTGTTTGCAACTATCTGTGTATTTTGGTCAGTCTTGAATCAGGAATGGCCTGAAGGAGTCGATGAGCCTGCCAGATCCATTATCCAAGGTAGCTGAAATTTAATAAATGCATATTAATAAATTATGCATGAATTGCAGATACATTGAAGCATACAGATGGTGACTAGCAAAGAGTCTAGGCACAGCAGGGCCTGCTTAGGAAAATTCCAGGGCTGTCTATAATTCACACCTGGAGAGCTCCTGTAACAGAATTTTTGTTGTGAAGCCAGTTAAAGGCTTTGTCATTGACTCTGTCTTATGTGCTGTCTCCTCAATGCTGAGAGGACTTGGGAAGCTCTTGCACCACCCAGGAGTTCATTGACAGAGGGTTCTGAGTTCTGTATGCAGCCAAAGCACTGATATCCTGCTAGGCCACAGTTGGAATTATTGGATGGACTTGAATTTTATGCTTATATTCCAATTGTAACTTTGATTTTACAGCTTTTACCTGGAAACAAATTTAATCCTGTTGGAATTCTTGAAGATTGATGCATATATTCATATCTGAATTGATTTTGCCTAAGGTCTTTTGCCTGATTATTTTAAAAAAGTAAGAAATAACTTTGTGGTTGGCTTGGTTTTTTCTGTTTCTTTTGTTCTTCAAACAATAATAGTAGAAGTATAGCTGAATCAAGTGTGTAAAGATATTAGGTTTGTTTAGTGAGGTCCACAGTGTTTTCC